TGCCAAGTTCCTCAATCTGTGCTGGCCACTCTTCACTTTGCTGTATGGCAAGGAGCACACATGCTAGATATGGGTCCCTCAGTTGCTCTTTCTGGAAATCCTAAGGCATTTAATATGGTATCCAACTATTAGTGGAATCTCTCATTGTATATGGCTTTAACTCTCACATTGTGTCCAGAGTCAGGACATTCAATAAATGAACAGGTCTCAGCATGCAGTGAGACAATCTGTCAGCAGTTCTGTGTTGAAAGCCTGGATGATGATTTCCGTTTTCACACTCCTGAAAAGTTGTGATCCAGTGAGCAATCACTCCCTCCAGATTTTTAAAGTTCGTAAGTCACTTCAGTGGTGCATAGTCCACACAAATTGTGAACTTTCTATTATATGTAATTTTGTTAGAGTTTTGCAATGACCATAACAGCAAAATATTATTTCTTTGTCATTCAATATCTGTATTCGATAGCCATGGTCTTCCGACTATTATACATGATTACATATTCCACTTCATCCTGCAACTGCAATATCATTGCCTAAATTTCACTATCATTGGTAATATTAATATCTTACAAGAACTCACAGTCTCATCATGGATATGTCAACACTAAAGCCTCAACTAAGGCATACTTTAGAATGCTTGATCACACTCCATGGTCCATCTAAAATGTGCACCAGCTTTAGTGAGAGCAGATAACGGTGTGGTAATGTTGGAGATGTTGGCCACAAATGTTGGTAATATGGTGCAAAACCAAGAAAACTGTAGACACCTCATTTGCTCATAGATTCGGACCAGTCTTGCACTACTGTAACTGTTGCAGGGTAAGCAGAGACTCCATCTCTACCTAAAATATGGTAGAGTTATTCCATCTACATATGCATGAGGGCACGCACCCTTGATTTCAACTTCAAGCCTGTCTTTATTATATACTAAAGTACTATATTCAGGTTTGAGCAAAAGATTCAAACATGCTGCCAAACACATGAATACTTCATTGGCATAGGTCAGGCACCTTTTCCATAGTGACCCCTTAAATGTAAGCCCCATTAGCATATCAAAAGTTAAGAGTGATGAGCTCATTACACAGGCTGAATGGAATAACATGAAACTTGTAAAAACCATCTTGAGTGCTAAGAGGTCTTAAGTTCTCTCTCACTGTTCAGTTAGATTTACCAGTATTTTGATGTAAGATCTAAAGTGTTAAACCATCAGACACCTTTCAATCTTTCAATGCATCCAGTGATTCATCTATCCACAGGCATGGAAAGGCATCAATGTAGACACCCATCTGAAAACAATACGAAACCTAGGTGTACTCTCTTTCTTCCTGGCCATTACCTCTACAGCAGCCTCAAACTTTATGAAGGCTATACGAATCAGTCCTTTAACATCCACTGTATCTCAAAATCGGCTACATCCCTAGTATTCCAGAGAATTTTTTTGGTGGATGTTTTATTGAACATGCATTGTCTGTATCTATGTGATTGCACATCATGTTTGTTCAATCAAACCACCCATCTAGTTATACAAATACATCATTATATACAACCAACAAGTCACTAAAGTTCTGTCCCTAATGAACTCAAATTTGTTGGCAACAGTATACTTACCCATGAGCATGGCATGACAGAATCACCAATAACCATACCACTTGTCTCAGTTACCTCCATTTTACTTAATTTGCCAACAAATCGTTCCAGAATGAAGCTGAATAACTGTCCATAACTGCAAAATAGCATCAGGACTTACCTCCTTTTAGAGTTATCATTGTTTGAGCTAATGTTGCCTGCTTTCTGGGGAGAAAACAGTACATTTCACATGTTAGTTCTGTCACCACATTACATCTATTAAGCACTAGACCTCATCTGCAGTAAAACTTGGAACACCACTTGTGTACATGAAGGTACTTTGACTCTCTCTGCAACATACACTCATGGGAAACATTATTTCTGGATCTGGTTTGGTCAGCATCTGATGACTTTCCTAAGGAAATTTATTTGACTTGTTGCCCAGCAAAACTGACTGACAATTTCTCCAGTGCATCCATCCCTAGGATACAAATACCAGAAGCATAGTTGGAGATCACAACCTTCGTTCTATGGTTTACATCACCTAGATGTAGATAGAGAAGTGCCTCTCTAGTTACATTTAGTTTATCACCATTCTACAGAGTGAAGTCAATGTTAACTTGATAGATTAGTGGCTTTGTTCAGAGTGTCTAATGTACAGCAAGATCAACCAATGTACTGGCAGCTCGTGTGTCAACAAACATCCCTATCTCTCATCCTTTTACTATTATAGTCACATACCAAGTATCACTGAGCCCTAAGACAGTTGGTTGGCAGACAACTAAACCTTTTGGCATGAGCTATCTGTTGTACTTCTCCCCAAGTTGATACTCAGGCCCAACTTGGGCTCCATTAGTATCCCAGAGCTAAAATATCAACAGCTACTGCTCGCTGTTAGCCCTCCTCCAGCTGCTGTGCAGTTGGTCAAAACAAATAGCCTTGCCTACTTTAATGTATGGCAAGGGATGCGCAGTTACTTTAAAGTAACTCAATTGCCCACATCAAAAGCAGATACTTTAATCCTCCCTGTCAGAACAATATTTGGAAGAGGCATAACCGGCATTGGCTGTGACATAAGCATTATGGGAGAGCCAGAGAAGCCCTGCCCACTCACCGGAAGCCAGTGGAGTTGTATTGCAATGCCATGATAAGTAAGCTGCTGACTTGCTCTCAACAAAAGAATGAGCTTTGAACGGTGTAACCATTTCAAAATGGTGGTCTGTCTGAGGTATGGCCACTACAGCAGCTACCATGGGTTTCATCATCTCTTGCAATTTATCCAATATTATGACTTTATACCTTACTGCTGCAGAAACTGCTTCCATGAGGGTGAGCATGCCTCACACATTCAAGTGATGCCTAAATTGCCTCACCAGATAGCTCACCAGAGGATCTGATCAAGCCATTGCAGAATACTCCTTCCTATGCAAATAGTAGAAGTCATCAGTATAAGTGGCCAAGCTCTCAGTAGAAACCCCTCTTTTAAACCTTGAACTCTGCCTGATGGAAAGCTCAGTTTTACATGGGGTTGAAATGTTGGTGAAACCAGCTAAACCTGTATCCCAATCTCAGAGTTTTCCTCACTTAAGTACTTGACAGAAACAAAGACTGGGCCATTCAAATTCAAGATCAAGTATTGTGCCACCCATTCCTGAGTCAAGCTACTCCATGCAGTGAACTGATTATAATGATTAAGGAAACAGTACAGGTCTTCTTTACCTGCACTCTTAAATATTGAGGGGGGTATTAATTTAGTTTTGCTCACAGGGACTTTGGTTGTAGCATAAACATCTCACCAACAAACACTCCATCAGCACTAGGCTGAGACATCCTAAACATTAGTGGAGTGAGCATACATAGGGACCCTTAAAGACGTCTCTTGCCACTAAGGATTTTTCATTATATTTTGAACCTGGAATTTAACTAGTTAGAACTGGAATATCTTTCGCTGGGCGGACTCAAACGTCAATTAGCTGCCTGATGCTAGTAGAGGTCACAATCTAGCTCTGTCCACTGGACAAAGAAAGCATGTTGATGTTTGGAATTCAGACTCTCCTTTTCTTATCAGTTCGTTTCTAGTTTTTGCAGAGAGAAAATGTACTAGAGTTCTTTCAACGTTTAGTGTTGTGGTAATCTATCTTGCGAAAAGGAATACTTCAAGGCTAATACCATTGTATAATTTGGATTGAGAACTGTTTGTTGTCGCACATGGGTACACGCTTTGACTTTTTTTTTTTCGTAAGTAAAGATTTTTGTTTGTTCTACCGAAAGTTTATCAAACCTGTTTCTTTTCACATAAAACGAACACTCAGTTCAAATATATTTAAATACAATCAAACAAGAAGTCTCGTAAGTCTTCCTGGTCATAATCTGCTATTATTGCAGAAAGTTCTGTCTGATACTTGTCGGGAAATCGACTTTTAACTGAAAATACCACAAAATCACAAACATATTGTTACGACAGTCGAAGTCACGCGACGCTGGGAGCATGCGCGCTGGAGTTTCTAGAAGGATCATGACTTATCAAGGAACCTCGCGAATGTCCGAGTGTTTTCAGGCGCCCTCTTTTTTACTATATAAGCCGGCAAATAAAGCCAGCGATAGATAGATATGCAAATAGATTGAAAATAGAGATAATTGAGTCAAGCGAAC